AAAAAAAAAAAAGCAAGCAACAAGCAAACAAACATGGTGACTCAGCTTCCAGGTCAAGCAGGCACAGATTTGGCATCACCAAGGCAGGAGCTTTGAATGGGTCAAGTGAAGTAACACAGAATCTCTGCTGTGCTCAGAGCCAACCACAATGAAAGACCAGGAAGTTTCCACAACTGGTCAAGAGGCACTGGTGGCTGGAACAGGGTGGCAGTAGGGCCAACAGTGAGAAACAGCAAGAGCCTATAAAGCACCCCAAGGTACAACTGCAAGGGTTTGGGGACGAGGATGTGGAGGTGAGAACAGGAAGCCAGTCACCAACAGGAAGGAGTGAACATCCACTGAGCGGGGTACCATCCGGCAGGAAGGAGCAGTTTGGAAATGTGTGAAATGCTCTCGAGACAGAAAGCGCTGCTGAGGCAAGCAGACATCCAGGCTAGGGTCTCCATTAGGAGGCCGTGGCATACAGGTGGCACTGAAAGCTCAGAGAACTAGGACATGCTGATGTCTAGAGGTTGAGGGTGAGGACAGTCACCAAAGATGACTCCAGAGTGCACAGCAATGCAGGAGGAAAACCAGGTGATGAGTAGGCTGGAGCATGGCTCAGTGGTAGAACCTTTTTGCCAAGCTTGTTAGAGGAGGCCTTGAGTTGGTAAAAGGCAAGACCCAGGCCAAAGAGTTTCTCCGGGAGGAGGGCATGGTCACCTGTGCCGCATGCTGTGGATGGGTCAGGCTAGATGTGGACTGACCCTTGGAGAGAGCAACATAGACTCTGAGACCTTATCAGGGGCTTTGATATAGCCCTGGGGGTGAAGGTCTGACTGGTATGAAGGCAAGACAGGAAAAGGGGAAGAAAATGTGACTGGGGACAGGAGATAGCTCAGCAGTCTAAATGCCTGCCTGACAAGTGCAAGGACCAGGTTCAATTCCCAGTACCACATGCCATGCTGGCCCCGTCCCATGCCCACCAAGCCAGCCACTGAAAGTGGGCATGGTGGCCCATGCCTGTAATCCCAGCACTGGGGAGGCTGAGACAAGAGGATCACTACAAGTCTGAGCTGCGTAGTGAGATCCTGTACCAAACACATAAATTAAAAAGAAAATGTGAATACTAATGGGTCAAAGGGAGAAACAAGGATGCAAAAGGCCCAGTGCTGGCCTCTGCTTGGAGCACTGCCAGGTGTCCACCCCCCACCCACACTCCAGTACTGGAGATTAAACCAGGCCCTCATGCTTGTGAGGCAAACACTACCACTGTGCTATTCCTCATCCATTTTTAAATTTTATTTTTGAGACAGGGTCTCACTAAGTAGCCCAGGATGGCCTCAACCTTAAGATGCTCCTGCCTCAGCCTGTGTAGCTAGAATTATAGGTGTGGGTCAGCTATACCTAGCCCCCTAGTTCTTCCAAAGTAACGGGAGGGAGGACAACCCTCGGGGCCAGCAGCTAGTGGCAGGAGGCAGATGTAATCACTGGAGCTAAGGAAGTGCTCTGTGTAGTGATTTTGTTTTTCCAAAAGTTACTTGTTCAGGAACTGGAAGTGAGGACAGGAAACCCCATTTTCTACATGCTTGGTCACAGTTCCTCTGCTGAGAGCTTCCAAAGAGGAGACACAGCTCCAAAGCACCTTTAAACATGTGCTGTTCAATGTAAAATTAGCTACGTGCCACTATTAAGCAACCGAAATGTGGTTAGTCCCAACTCAGATGTGCTAAATGCAAACATTTTTAATGAGACAGGGTGAGGTATGGGGGTGGCAGCATGGAGATAGCTCAGAGATCTAAGTGCCTGCCTAGGTAAGCACAAGGACCCAGGTTCGATCCCGGGTACCACATGCTGTGCCAGCCCTGCCCCGGGCGCACTGAGCCAGCCACCAAGACAGGGCATGGCAGTGCATGCCTGTAATCCCAGCACTGGGGAGGGTGAAACAGGAGGATCACTACAAGTCCGAGCTATGTAGTGAGACCCTGTACCAAATACATAAAAAATTAAAAATAAAATGAGATGGAAAATATTTCATTTATAATACTTAAAATGAGCCAGGAGTGATGGAACACACCTATAGTCTCAGATCTTTGGGGGATCTGAACCAGGTGGATTATAAACTCAAACCCAGCTTGGAAATTAACCAAGACCCTAAATTTAAAAAAAAAAAAAAAAAAAAAAATCACATATTTGAAACTCTGTCACCCCATCATTTGCCTCATAATCACCATATTGAAAAAAAAAAAAAAAAAAAAAAGTAAAAGGCTGGGGATGTAACTCAGTGCAAAGCCCAGGGTTCAATCCCTTATACTGTGTTAATAATAACAGCTTAGGCCAGGGGTAGCGTCATATGCCTGTAATTCCAGCATTTGGGAAGCTTGAGTCAGGAGGATTGATGAAAAATTCAAGGTCACCCTGGGCTACACAGTGAGTTCAAGGGCAGCCTAAAAAGAACAGCGAAACCCTGTATCAAAAAACCCCAAAATAATAAATGATAATTTAAATGAATAGAATATGATAACTTAAATGTAGAAGTGATAATATTTTGGATAAACTAAGTAAAATAGCAAAATTAATTTCAACCTTTTTACCTTTCAATGTGGGTATTACAGAAAACCTAAAATTATATATGTGGTTTGCACTGTGTTTACCGTGCAGCATGGGTCTAGACCCATCTCAAAACTGTTCCCCTTCTTTTCAAGGGGGACAAGGGTGGCCCTCCTTGCCCATTCTGGGAGTAGGGGGTCAGAGAAGCTGACAAATGCGGCAACACTGCCCCCGTGCGTTCAGAAAGGGAAACACAGCAGAAGATAGCCATAGGAACTGGAGGGGTCTCCTTAAGTTTGCTTTTCCTAGATACAAAGTCAAACAGGTTTTGGAGGGATGGAGGGAGGAGAGGAAGCAAAAAGAAGTCAGATGTGTTATGTACATGTACCAGCTCCTCACGATGACTGTAATTATCATGTACTGCAAACATAGTCTTAAAAAAAGATTCTCATCTTTGTCTCCCAATAAGCTTTGTAGTTCTTAAAAAATAAATAAGCCAAAAATAAATAAATAAATAAATAAATAAATAAATACATACATACATACATACATAAGCCATACAGATCTAGCTCAAAGGTCCTGTCAAGATGGTCCCTACTTTGGGAACCCAGATCTCCCATCCACCAGCTTCCCATAGTTGAACAAGCAGCATTATTGAATTCCTACTCAGCTGGCAATGGGACCAGGAATAGACTTACAGAAGGGTAGAGGACTGCCTGGCCTGGCAAAGGACTGCAGTAGAGGGAATGACTCCAGCAAATCTCTAACTTCAGATAGCTCCATTTGTAGTTGCGGGAGGGAGAAGGGGGACCTCTGGCCAGGTGTAGTGGCACTCACCTGAAATCTCTGCATTTGGGAGGTTGATTACTAAAAGTTCAAGTCACCCTGTGCTGCACAGTGAGTTCAAGGACAACCTGAACTACATGTGGAGACCATGTCTCAAAACAGAAAGGCAAAACCTCAAGAACCCTTCTCTTCTCAGTGGCATTTAGGAGGCCCGAAGAATCAATGGCAACATTCCTTCTCCTGTCCCCTTCCCCCAGAGGTTGGTACAGGCTCTTTCTGTCCCTTTCCCTCTAGGCCCCCATTACCTGTAAAAAACCGGTCAGGTCATCAGTGGAGAACACGTCCATCACCTCCACAGCCCCTGCGCTGGCCTTGCTGACTACTGGAGTGAGCGGGCAGCTGCAAAGATTCCCCATACCCCTTTAGGCTGGGCAATCTCCAGCGCGCGCCCCACCTACGCACGGGGGGGGGGGGGTCCCACAGTCAAGGGGTGAGGAGCTCGACGAGATCTAGCTGAGGGATCACCCAGGGGCGAATCAGCCCCGGGGCGAAAGTGCTTAGGAACTCGCTTGCCCACGTGGGGAATAAGGGATGCGCGTGCCTGTTTCTGCGACTGGTGATGATTTTGTCCACTCCGAGGAAGTGAGCAGTACGTAGCACAGCACCAAGATTCCGGGGATCCTGGAGCCCCTCGAGGGCGAGCCATAACTGCTGGGGGTCACCGCTGGGGCCCGCCTCCCCGGCCTCGGTGTAGGGTCGGGGCCGCAGAGGGGTCACCTCCATGCAGACGCCCTGGTGCACCTGGTAATGGCACAGGGCGTCTAGCTTCTGCCGTCTGGGCCGCAGAACTGGGATGCCCCGCGCCTCGGCCGCCCGGAGCAGCTCGGCCCGCTCCCCGTGTAGGCCGGCCCTGCCGACCTGGAGCAGGAGCCGGGCCACGCGGCGGCGGGCGGCTCGCAGAGCCAAGAGACACGGGGACAGGCCAAACAGCAGCTCTAGCCGCGGGGCGGACGCCAAGTCGTCCAGCCGCAGGCGCCGTAACTCCTCCCCGCCAGGCTGCAGCCTTCTCCGGGCCGCTTGGGTGAAAAAACTGGCGACGAGCTGATCCGAGCAGCAGCGGGTCGCGGCCTTGAGGGTCGAAAGCAGCCGCATAGCACCGGTTGCTCTGGGGTTCGATGCTCCCTGCTGTGTCCCGGAGCGTCTCCCTCACAGTCCAGCGAAGAGGACCCGAGCGCTGTCTTCACTCCGACCGCTCGCTCAGACAAGGAGACAGCCCCGACTACCTATGTGAGGTCCGCCCAGCAGCCTGTGCACCAGCCAGACACTGGAGAGCCTCCCCGGCACCACCGTTCCTCCACTTCCGGGTTCCGGAGGCCCCGCCTCTTGCCCGGCGAGGTACTGCGCATGCCCAACCCGCAAGGCGTCCTCGTGCGCCCCCTACCCGCCTAGCTGAGCGGCGACCCGCACCGCTAGGCAGGGAGTCGGCGCTGGCGCTGAGCGGACCCTACGGTCTACGTCTATTTCTCCGGGAAGTCCCAGGTGGCTGGTGGGACCACATTCACCCAAGCACCACCAGATATAATTTAAGGGAACCATATGGCCCAGGTGGCTGGTGAGACCACATTCACCCAAGCACCACCAGATATAATGTAAGGGAACCATATGGCCTAATTCCTTGGTGCCTCCCTCCCACATCCAGTCGGCAAGTCTCCAGCGATACTTCCCACTCCTCTGCCGCTAATTCTGTCCCAGGGGGACAGCTCTGAGCCCGAGTCCCTGCCAAGAAGCCAGTTGGTACGGTGGGCCACAGGTAATGATGACCACACTCCTCAGCACTCAGACCCTCAGTGAACCAGGAAGGGGGCACCTTGGCATCCCCACCTTGCTCCTGCATAAAGTCGTGAGGCCTCCCCACCTTGCACACTTGTATACCTTCTCTTTGTCTTCTGAGACTCCCCTCCATTTCCAAGACCCATCCAACCCTTTCCTGTGGTAATCCCTCTCCACGAGAGATGTCCATCACCCATCCGGGCCTCCCACTCACCTTGTGGGAACTGTGAGACACAATCTCTCCGACCACGGCGAAGGGGGAAAAATTGAAAGACACTCCTGAAACCAAAGTAGGTTGCTGCGATTTTTCTTTTTTTAATTATCACAGTGAAGCCAGGCCCTGATATTCAGCTGTTATACAGGGGAATGATGACCCCACCAGGGGCAGGAAGCCAAGATTGGAGTGGAGAGCTGGGGGTGGGGGCAGGGAGAGAAGGACACCTGGAACCCTGGATAACCACTCCAACAATGGGTGAGGGCCTCTTGCTGCCACCTCAACCCTGAGGGTGAAGCCCCGGATCCAAGAAGATAGAGGGACAGCCCCATTCCCAAGTCAAAGGAAAGAGATCTGAGGAGAGCAGACAAAGGCCAAGGAGCCCAAGAAAAGGACCCAGAACTCACAGGTGACATAATCAGTGACCCCCCCCCCACCTCCTTTCCCTGACCCATTTTTTTTTCACATTTGCATTGGAAATAATTTGACAAGCTGATTTAAAATCTTATACAAATTTTCTAGCCCTTGGGAGGGGGGGTTAGAGTGGGGTGCAGGGACCCAGAAATCCAACACCTAAAATCCACAGGCAGGAGCCCAGCCATGAGGGGCAGGGAGAAGGAGCTCCCCACTGGACACTAGGTCACCTGCTCCGTGGGCCTCATCTGGATGTCTCCAATCTGTGGAAGGCATAAGGCTTGAAGCAGCCGGACACTCCCGGCCCCCTTAAGGCCTCCCTACTCCCCTCCTCTGGGGATGTCTGGACTCTTCCAGAAGGTGGACAGTCAAGGCCGGACTCACCTGGACATGTGGGGGACAGCTGAGGACGTAGATGACTGCCTCAGCCACATCCTCAGGCTTGAGACACTAAGAGCACCAAGGTAAAGAGTTGAGAGGCAAGGACAGAAGGGACCCACCTTCCTTCCCACCTCTGCAGTCCTCTCTAGCATCACATTCCCACCCCAACCCTCCAGGAGGGGTGGCAAACTGGCCAGAAGGGTGCAGGGTAAAGGCCACAACTCCTGCTACCTTCCTGTTGGGACTGAGTGACTTTACTGGGCCCCACCTTGATGCATTCATAGGTGGCAGCTGCTCTCTCAGGGTCCTTGTCATGGAGTTTGAAGGCGAACTGTGTCTCCACCAAGCCTGGAGAGATGCACTGGGCCAACAGAGAGGGCCTGTTTAGGGGCAGAGTTTTGCCAGGCCTTGGGGAGGTTGGGGAGAAAGAATGGAGACCACAGGGCCCAGCTTCCCAGTGATGGCTGTCCATGGCTGTCAATGGCAACGATCACCATGTTTCCTAGTTACCTACATAGCCAAGTCAGTGCTTCACCAGTGTGCTCCTTAAAGCCTCCTAACCAGGCAGGATCATCAATTCCATTTTGCAAATGAGAAGGCTAAGGCTTGTGAAGATTCAGTGCTTTGTACAAGGTCATTCAGCCCTCAAGGGAAGAGCCCAGAATCCTGCTGTCCAATCCTTCTATACGTGGTTTCCCACAACCCCTTGCTTTCCCTCAGTCTTATTCCAGCACACTCCCCTGAAGTCAGCCTTCTCCCACCTCTAAGTCTGGTACCTGGCTTTTGAGTGAGTAAAAGGAGGATCCTCAAAGACTGAGTAGGACCATGCATGGGACAGCAGAGCCTAGGAGCTCTGCACCTCATTCACTCCCAGGGGCCTTTAAGCAGCCCATCCTGGACAGGGCTTCCTCGGGGGGGAGGAGGGGCACATGCAGGTAGGTGGGAGGACCTGTGCCCATCTCATCCCCACCAGGATTAGGCCACAGCCTCACCGTGGCTCGAATGTGGGACTGGGCCTCCCGCAGCTCGTGCCTCAGTCCCTCAGTCAGTGCGGTGACGGCATACTTGGTGGCAGTATAGAAATGCATCACACTGTCCTGTAGGATTCGGTGGCCACACATGCTGCGTGGAAGAAGGAAAGGGGGAAGAGGAGAGAGTGAAGCTCTACAGAAACTGAAGTGCCCTCTGCCATTCTGGCCCACCTCACTCCAGAGACAGACAGGAAGTCTCCTAAAGGGGGTGGCCATGAGCCAGCCTACTGCACCCAGCCTGCTACCCTAGCAGCTCCTGAAACCCTCCTCTGCCTTGACTTCATCCCTTTGCTGACACAGAGCGCACTATCCTGGTCATTTCAGATGTCAAAAGTCTCGCCAATTTATCTGTGTGCTCACTGATACATCCAGGCAGGAGCCTTGTCCCTCCTGATTGGACCCATGCAGTATCTTTGTGCCACCAGAAGGGTTCCCCAGGGCCTAGAGAGTGAAGGTGCTCAGTTCCAGAGAATCCGCAGGCTTTGATTACAGACAGAAAGGGCTTCGATGCCCACCCCAGCAACAAATGCCTGGCCCTTGGCAACATAATTTTTCCCTCACCACAATCATGCCACTTGAGTATTAAATGAGAATGAGATCCCCATTTTACCAGCAAAGAAATTGGTGCCTGTAGCGCTCACAGGTGCTGCAGCAGATTACCTAGTATGGATGGAGGTCAGGTAGTGACCGGGGCTGCACCACTGCCCACCTGCCCTCACCTGTTGATGTTAATGATGTGCCCGTCATCCACACTGCGCTCCTTCATGGACTGGTAGGCTTCCCGGGTGCAGATGCTGAGTGCCAGCACATTCACCTGCGAGCCAGGGAAGGCAATGGGGTGTTTCCAGCTCAGACCCAGCTGCCCAGCTCATGGAGCCACTGGGCTCCATGAGGAGTGGGTGGTGTGACCTTCCAGACAGTGTCCAGGTCTTCTCAGAGACCTTGCATGTTGGTGCACCTTCCAAAAAAGCCATTCCCAGCTGACAGCAGGTAGCTCCTCCCCTGACTAGATCAGAAAAGCACCACTACCCCAGACCCAACTGGACCCAGGAGACTGGATTGGCTCTGCTTTAGGGAATTATCTCCTTTTCCCAAAATAGCTTCTTAGCCTTCTCAGTGACAGTGTCCCTATACCTACTCTCTCCCAAACAGACTGAAGATCGTCCTCAAATGCTTAAGAATCTCCTCACGCACAGATCCCAGCCTCTCTCCACTTTGCTCAGCCTGCCACTCCGTTCCTGTCCCCTGCCTGCAGGCCAGGAGGAGGTGGACAGCCTGCCCTCCTGCCATTTATATCTGCCTCAGCCTGTATCCCACCTGCAAGTGGGGTCACTTGCCACTCCTGGTCTCTCTGGCAGAGGTGACCCAAGTCCATACTTTCATGTAACAGAGGCCCGAAGCAGTATCTTCTGGGAAGCACCTGCCCAGCCCCACCCTTCAGACTCCAGGCCAGCAGGATAAGCTGAGATAAAACTTTCAGTACGCCCTTGTGCTCTTGGGAAGAAAGACCTGCTGGCAGATACTAGCTGGTTCTCTTTAAAGGTGTCAACTGGGCATCAAGATAGAGAACCCTCACTATGAACCTGCTCGGTGCTCATGGCAACGACAGCAGGATGACAGGTCTCAGGACATGGGCCCGTCTCAGCCCTGTTTCTTGTCCTCCTAGCAAGTGAGTACGTGGGGCAGAAGGAAGAGGAGAAATGGACCCCTGGGAGCATGTGAAGAAATCTCCAACATCAGGGGCCAGTACTGCGGAGGAGATCCATCCTAGCATGAGCCTAATAGACAGTGTGCATGCTGCAGTGGAGCGGGAGGGAGGTGTTAGGGATATAAGCCCCCCACTTCACAGATGGGCAAGTTGAGGCCCAAGTTTAGTGCAGGACAGAGCCATGACTGTGATTTCCCCAGAAGTCTCTGTGAGAACAATGCCCTTGTCTCCATTGTTCACTGTTTCCTTTCCAAGCCCAAGCATCTGTGAGGTGGCAAATCTACTAATGCAGGTATGAATGGATTCTGAGGGAAAAGCATCCTGTTTGGACACTGCTTTCAGCTTTCACAATACTTTCATACCCTAATGCTACCCCCACAATGCAGCCCAGAAGTCGAACTCACATTCCTGAAGGCTGTGTTTCGCCTGTGTATTGGCTTTAAAGTATCATTAAAGGGCCTGTGAAATAGTTCAGCGGTACAGCACTTGAGTAGCATACACAAAACCCTGGGTTCAATCCCTAGCACTACAATAAATAAATACCTTCTCAACGTGTACTCATTCGTTCAGTAAATATTTCTTGAGGGCTTAAGAGTAGTGCTGCCCCAGAAAATAAAGCAGACAAAAGTCCTTGCACTGGCAGAGCTGGTGCTTTTGTGAATGGGACAGGTGGTGTGTCACATAAAAATGCAGTTGCTCCGCTTCAAAGAACCTTCAAGACCACCCCCACTGCTAGAGAGCAACTCTTTGGATTTGAGCAGCAGACACGTTTTTCCCTTGCATTGCAGACCAAACTTGATTCCTTTTACTACCCTGACCCAGGGAACACTGAAGTTTGTGACCTCAGATATTAATGACAGAAGGTATACATCCCAATCAAATGTGACCAGGCAGAAGCTCAGAGACAGTAACTAACCTGCTTGAAGACAATTACTAGCTGCACAGCATGAGAATATTATCTTTTCCCTGTGTTCTTTTTCATTCCATAAGACCACGTTCCCAAGCATACCACACAGTGCTGATGCTCAGGGACATTCAATAAACAGCACTTCTCTTCCCTTCCAATCTTTTTTCAATATGGGAGACTAAGTCTAGACTTGAAGAACCACATCCAGGGGCTCAAAGAAAAGAAGAGCTGAGAATGTATGGCCATGCACCCAACTCACAAGCCCACTGGTAGGGGAAGAACAAAGGGAGAGCAAAGATCCCCCCAGCAGGCAGCCCAAGGAAGATCTTACTGGATATCCTGTCCCTGCAGCTTCCAGCTCACAGGCCCAGCTCTGCTTCCTCCCGGGCCCCACCCGCCCTGCCCCAGGCCCTGGAGCCCTTACGTTGAACATGTCCTTCCAGCCACTGGTGCTGCCTGACAGCAGGGTGTCAGGCCGAGCCAAGCCAGCATTGTTGATACAGATGTCCACACCACTGTGCTGAGAGCGGACAGCAGAGAACATGGAGAGGATGTCCTCCTCATTGGATAGGTCACATCTGTAGGGGATCAAAGTCCCGGGGTAGCCTGCACTCTTACATTCGGCAGCCAGCTCCTATGAAACCCAACAGGGGTCTCACTGGGGTGAGCTGCTCATTCCCACACCTCCCACCCGCACCTCCCTCCCTGGTCACCACTCATAGAACTCTTTCCTTTGAGATCTGCCTTTTGGTCACAAAGATGTTGGGATTGCCTATCCCCCAAAGCTTGTCTTCTTTGGTCAAAGTCCAGGGGTTAAGGGCACTCTGGGGGGGAGGAGCCTCATGTATAAATTCGTATCTTCTGTTCTAAGGAGGGACTGGGCAGGCAGCCTGGCAATGGAGGAGGTCTCTTTTCTGCCTCTTCCCACCAAGAACATCTCTCTGCCTAAGAGTAACAACAGCACCCCTCATCCCGCCTCATGCTTCTTCGGCCAGTGCCAGCACTTTCCAAGCTGGCTGCTCCATGACTTTCCTGGTGTCAGCCAGCCCTTCCCAAGACTAATCTGAGAACCACCATCCTCCCCTCCAAGCTGAAGTCCATTTGGCAAAACACAGATTTGTTCTCACACCTTTCCTTAGCACCCACTTGCCAATCCCGCCTCTACCTCTCTAGGAGGAGTGGGGACAGCAGAACAGATCTGATCTTTCTCTAACGCCTGGCACATCATCTTCCACCCCAAGATATCCTTGGAGACTACAGAGCAAGGCAGGTGGGAGATGCCACTGGATACCTCCTGTGCCTCTCCTGAGAAAAAACATAAAAAAGCAGGGCCACTGAAATGATGGTGAGGAGAGCTGACATTTAAGAGCAGGGGAAAAAAACGGGCTGCATGGCCTTGGAGGCCAGTGACCGGGCAGGCACTTGAGCCTTGTGAAGGTGACTATGTACACTGTGGGAGGGGGAGGGTGCAGGATGCCCTAGAGGAAGGCCACTTTGGCCAGCTGTCCTGGCTTGGAGCCCCTTCCTCCTCCCAAGCCAAGCCATGAATAAAAGGCTGGATCAGGTGACTGAATTTTTTTTTTTTTTTTTTTTGCTTTAACTTTCTGTTAGTTCAAAAAGCATACTACTCTGAACCTGAGAGGTCCCTCTCTAGCCAATTTTATTACCCCTGACTACCTTGGGAAAACAGGTTCTCTCTGTTGGAGGCCGGAGCCCAAACTCTGCTGTAATATCAATGAATGAACCAATCAATGAAGCTAGGAAGTCTGAATTCTCTCTTCCTCTAATGTGTAACTTCCCTTCCTCCTGCGAACTCAAGAGCCCCTCTTCAGAAAGCCAAAAGGGAGAAACTAAAAATGTATTCTTCTGTCACTTCCTTCTCATTGCCCTACTTGTGCCACTAGACCATTTTCCCCACTCATCCTTAAAAATGACCTTAAGTCAAGGCACTCTCCCCATAACATGGGCATTCTCCCTTCCTGACATGGGATCCTGCCATGGGATCTCCCTTTCTTAGACACCGTAAGGGGAGGGGAATAAAAGAGAAGGCAAGAGTTAGGCAATCCAGCTCTAACCCCTGACCTGATCCTCTGGGCTCCAAGGCTGGGCTGGGCCCTGAGCTTTTGAGCACAGAAAGGGAGGGGCAGAGTGGGGCAATGGTCGAGCCAGGTGACCTTGGGATTATCTGGGAGGTTATAAAGTGTACCTTTGGTCAGCAGTAAGGGAGGGGACAGTCCTCCTTCCTGTACACCTCTCCTTCTGCCCCCACCTAAGGCCACCTCACCCTTTCTCTACCTGGGGACTTTGGGCAATGGTGGAAGGACAGTCCTATAACTGAGCACTAGTCTCAGCCCTGAGAGCGGGTCTTGCAACAGCAACTCCAAAAACAACCCACAATGGGAATTTCTCTTGTCTCCTTTCTCCCTGCCCCCATTGCCAACTTCATTTCCTTTTTGTCTGATATCTTGTTGCTCATATCTCTGGGAGTTTCCAACTCTATGTTAAGAGAAAAACTAGAAGCTCTGGACCCACAATGCTCTGTCCCCTCAGGACTTACATATTCAGTGCCCTGTTTCACTTACTCAGTCCCAATTAGAAAAATGAATTAGAGAAAAGTCTTCCAGTAAATTATTCCATTCATCTCTTAGGCCACTGGGCATAGATAAACCCTCTGATAGTGGGGGGTTGTTCCTTCAGAAATGCTCCCACCTCAACCTCACCCTCAGTCTGGGCCAAACATTCAAAACCCCAAGCTCCTGCACCTCTGTTGGCCTGCATGGTGGGTGAGGTCTGGAGATCAGAGGAAGCCAACCTAGCCAATAAGGGTAGAAAGGAGCTCTCCTCCGTGGCTGCCTGGCTAGCCCCTGATCTCTGACTTTCCCTTTCCTCAGTACAGCATCACGGGGAGGGCGACAGGGAGGGGGGGTGGGCGAGAGTCCCAGGCCTCAGAGATTTGGTACCCTGAGAGCAGGGACTGTCAGGGGTAAATGACTCAAAAGACGGGACCTAAAGTGAAGGTGGACGTCTGCTCTGAGGAATCCAAGAGGTCTCCTCTCCTGTGAGGCATTCATTCTTCTCCTCTCTAAACACGTGACAAATGGTCCCGGGGTGACAGGTAAGTGACTTCAGGGTCTTGGCCTGGCTCCCGCCACCGCCACTCCTCTTCCCCCACCCCCACCCCCGTCCCCGGAAACGACGACCCCAGAGCGTCCTCGCTCCCCCAAGAGGACTTACCTCGATGTTGCCCACGGTGCGGGCACAACCCACCACCTTCAGTCCCTGTTGGACCAAGGCCCGGGCCACGGCGGCACCGATGCCCCCCGAGGCTCCCGTCACCAGTGCCAGCCGGTCGCGCCACCGCTCCATGCCCGCCCTGGCCATGGCCCCGTGCCGCCCGCCCACCTCGCTCACAGAGGTTTGCCCCTGGCTGGAAAGGCTCGGCCGCTCCCTTGTGACTGCCGCGGCAACTGCTGACAACCTGCTCGCGTTGGAGCTGTGCCTCGACCCACCCCCATGCTGGCGGGCTTCGGGCCGAAGCTCCGCCCTCCGGTCCTCGGCGACCGGCCACATCCCGCCGGAGGCCGCCGCCGCCTGGCGCCCCGCCCCTGCGCCGCCGTGGCCACGCCCCTTCCGGCCGCGACCCGCGTGAGCGCCGGAAAGCTGCGCCCCGCGGGTCGCTTGATAGCTCGGTGACCTCCCGAGGTGGGGAGCGCGCTCAAGGATTCCTGCCCAGTCTCTTGCCTGCTCCAGACCCCTAAATCAGGATGAGGAATTACGGTCACTTTCAAGCCAGTTGGTGGTTGATGGGAAGCATTCAGTCCGGAAAAGGCCAAGTGCCTCCACCATCAAGACCCGGTGACCTTGCGAAGAACTTTTACTGATCCCATGTGATCTCTGGGCCGTAAGACAGAAACACTAGTACGAGGGGATTCTGCCCCTAAACGGCCTGATGTTTCCAACTGTCCTACAGGGGTCCTACCCCTTCATACTGTGCCAAATGTATCAGGTTGTATGCCAAAGATTAGAGCCTGAGCCCACAATCTCCGAGTGCTTACTCTGGCAGGCAGTGCTCTGTACAACCATCCTTTACTCCCTGCACCCCTTAGGCGTTGGAGTTAACCAAGGCAGGCTAGGCAAGTGCACTACCACTGAGATACACACCCAGCTCAATAGCTTAATTTTAGTTTTTTAGTATCTTCACTTGGGGGCCCGGGAGATGGCTCAGTAGAATAAGCACTTCCCTGGCAAGCGCAAGGGCCTAAATTCAATTCCCAGTTCTGCCAAAAAAAAAAAAAAAATCTTCACATGTAAAATGAGAATATTGTTAAAGAGATAAAACATGGGGTGGACAGGCTTAGGCCAGATTACCCTTGAGCTGCTTACCAACTTTTACTGACTCTTCCACTTTCCCTTCTAAGACGGTTCTTTTGTTCAAAATAAAGGTCACTCTGCTCTCTGGCTACTTGGGTTATTCCCTCAAAGTTCTGAAAATGGCTCACTTATTTTTTCTCCTCTGTCAGTTCTGGGGACTAAACCCAGAGCCTCTCACTGAACTACATCTGTAGCCCTTTTCTAAAATTTTGAGCCAGGGAGATAGCTCAGTGGCATAAGCACCTGCCTGGTAAGTGCAAGGTCCCAAGTTTGATCCCCAGTACCAAAATAAAAATGAAAAATTAATTTAAAATTTTGATTTTTTCCAAGTGGCCCAGGCTGGCTTCAAATTTGTGATCCTGCCTCAATCTCTGGAGTAGCTGGGATTACAGAGTCCACCATCATGTTTGGCACTTCTGATTGTTTTTGCCCCTTTGGTACCAAAGATCGAACTCAGGAGCCTGTGCTAATGAGGCAAGTACTCAGGCCACTGAGCTATTTCCTTGGCTCTGATTTTTTTTTTCCTGCTGTTGCAAAAACGTTTCTTTTGGCTCAAGATTTGGGAGGTGGTTCCAGAAAGGTGAGAAAGCTGCCTAGTGGCTGGAGGGAGAGGGTTAGGCCACAGCCCTGATGCTGGGTGATGCAGGAGCACCCCAGAGATCGCTAGGCTCTGACCTCTTAGTCGTGTTTAAGGGTGAGCCTTTCAAAGAGGTACTCGCCCAGCCCAGCCCAGCCTGGGGGCTTGCCAGCCTGCGGAGGTTGGTGAGGTGGTCACCTATCTTTTTTTTTTTTTAATTATTTATTTATTACACTTATTTATTGTGTGTGTGTGGCCAGCTCAGCCCACCAGGGGGCGAGGCTGGCTGGCATGTGGTGCTGAAGGATCGAAACGCGGTCCTTGTGCTTTGCCAAGCTTGTTCCAAGTAGCTGCTTTAGACCACTGAGCCATCTCTCCAGCCCCACCTATCTTCTTGATGAGCTTCACCTCATCTAGGAAGTGGTTCTCCAGGAAATCACAGATGGAGGGTTGGTCTTGGCAGCTGGCTCTGATTCTTAATATAGCCATCTTTCCAAAGCAAACTGGGTCTCTTGGGCTTGACGTTTTAATGCTCAATGGTAAAGCACTTGCCTACTAGCATGTTGGATTCAATCCCCAGCACCACAGGGGCAGGGGGAGAGGAGATAGTAGAAAGATAACCCTCAGAGCCAAGGAATATGGGAGCCTCATGGTCAGTTTTTATTAACTTTATGTCAGACAGCAAACAAGAGTCTAAGAAGAATCATTACTCGTTTTATCTTTGCTCCAATTTCTACACAACACTTTGATGGAAATACTACTCTAGAAGTAAATCAAAGAAATGCCAACAATGTAAGCGCCTGCAAGTGCAAGGACCCAGGTTCAATCCCCAGTACCTCATGCTGTGCTGGCCCTGGAAGAGCTGGGCACAGTGACACATGCCTGTAATCCCAGGGCTGGGGAGGCTGAGACAGGAGGATCACTACAAGTCCGAGCTGTATACCAAGACCTTCTACCAACTAATTAAAGGATAAAAAAAATAAAAAAAAAAAAAATGCCACCAACGATGAAAATTAAGAGTTCTCTGTTGTCCACCTGAAATCTGGTTAGGAATATGATCAAGTGGTAGAAAGTCTATACAATCAGCACCATCCCCATTGCAGATAGTTCAGGCTACCCTGGAACTCACTCTAGCCCCAGCTGGACTTGAACTCCTGGTAAGTCTCCGGCTGCAGCTTCCCAAGTGCTGGGATTAGAGGTGTGCACCAACACTCCTGGTTCTCATTTACTCTTCATCCTCTACATTAACACTGGCTAAGTACAAGTGAGAAATACTAAAGTATTACCACACATTAAGTAGAAACATGTACACCAAATTCTACTATGCGTATTAATAAATATTCTTTATTTTAAATTTTGCACATTGCGCTTTAACATCACATCCAAACATTTCGCAAGTGGATGTCTACTCTGTAAAACCATATATTCAGCTCATTGTCATTTCTGTACAGAAGTATAAGTACATTACTTTTTGCCACTAAGTTGCTTTAGTAAGTCTCACAAGAAGAGAAACATTTAATGAAGAGAGATGGCTTAAATCATATGGCAGGCCTGTGCAGCCACGCAACTAAGGACACAAGCCTGAAGAAAGAACAAACTAATGAAGTTACCTCCACCATCTCCCAAAACAAGAAAGAATCACATTGATTTAAGATAAATTTTGCCATAAGTCACTAAATTTAAGAGTTTTTTGAAAGAGAAGGCGCAGTAGTCATCTTGAGTGTTTCATTGAAAGACAGAGCTATTTTATTTATTTAATTTGCTCCAGCTGTTGTCAACCAGCCACTACAAATGGGCCTCTTGTGGTCATTTAAGCGGCAGTATTTATTAAATTTCTCCTTCAGATGCTGTCGGTATTGTTCTCTATTGCTGTAGAAAGACTGGTTATTAGCCATGAAGGACTGTATTTCATCTTGTGAGATAAAGATTTCCTCATCTGAAGTACATTCAGACTCATCCTGCAAAGTAAAGGAGTAGTTAAGATTATGACTTGGAAGAATGCAAAATGCTATGCTCATAAGAGGACAACAAAAAATTTAAACAGCTTAGATTTTTAGTTTCAATTCAGTCACATAAAGCCTGTAACTGGAGTGTTTACAGAATCTGCATGTTGCTTTTTCTTAGCAATAAGGAAGAATTAAAAAAAAAAAAAAATCCAACTTAACCTGGTTTGAAACGAATCTACAATTTATTCCACATGTCTAACAGTTTATTATTGGCCTTTAAAAAGTGACTAGAAATGGTGACAAGTAATTACTAGATTTTAAGGACTTTGTTTTCTTTATTTTTGAGACAAAGTCCCAATATGTAGTTCAGGTTGGACTTGAATTAACAGTGATCTTCCCACTAAGTGCTGGGATAACAGGATAAACTAAGTGGTATATACCACCACTCTCAGTTTAGTTATTAAATTTTAAATAACCAGACTTAATACTAGCTGATCTCAGTTAAAATTTTTCTACACAAAGTAAATAAAAGCTAACTTTTATTAAAAGTTTTACTAAAGTTTAACTTTTACTAAAAGAAAAAAAAAACACACCTTAAGAAAACAGCATCACGAATAAATTTACCACCACATACAGATTTTTTTGTTGTTGTTATTCTATTAGGGCCCTAATCATATGTTACTTCAGTTAACAAACAATCTTTCCACTCTTCTAGTCACAGAACTCATTCCACAGTTCTGGTTACCACCAAATTGCAAGCACAGTATTAAGTTCTGGAACTGTACCACTATACTATGAGAAAAATACCAATCCTACCCCCACACACACACAATTATAAACTGAATCATCTGAAATCCAGTATAATTCATATAATGCCTCAGGAGCTGGTGTCAATTATGAAAGCTTTGGAAAAACTCAGTGATGCTTTTAGCTTTCATGATACTTAAAGAGAAGTACCAGGAATATAGGCTTTGGTTCAGGTTCATGCTTCCTAGTCTGGAAGGGTGAGTACCACAAACTGCTACTCCAGCAAAATTTGTTTCAGTATCTGTCTTCAAGGGGACAGATTCTTACAATAATAGTGTATCTATCTTGTTCCACCAATGAGTCCAACTTTAAAAACATGCTCCAGAGTGGCTGCATAATGGAGCACTGCCCTTTATTTCTTAAAAGTTCCTCTACTGTCCATCTGGGATACTATCCCCACACCGACAGAAAGACGTCATGGACTTACGAGGAGTTCGACTAAGCTCTTGGCACCTTTTCCAGAATCAGGACCAAATGATGTTTCTGTAGGTTCTGCAAACTGGGATACATTTTTCCTATGCTCAAACCAAGGCAGTGGCTGCCCACTCTTTTCAGCACTGCAACAGCTTTCGGGATGTGCATCTTTGGTCTTGTCACGGTGAAACACTGTGTGCACGGTATTTCCTGAGGTCTCTCGATTGCCTGGATCTGTAATACAGCTTCCAAGTTTCTGGATCTGGAATCACAGCAAGAGATTTTCCAGATAAAAGGCAAGAAATAATAGCAATTAGTATTCCTTACAATGAAAACACAGGGGCCATGGAAATAGCTCAATTGAATAAGCACTTGCCTGGCAAGCGCAAGGGCCTGAGTTCAATCCCTGGTTCCGCCAAAATAAATAAATAAATTAATAAATAAATAATGA